ATAATAAGTAATATACAAAAACTAAGGATAATGAAGGAAACTAAGTACTTCCCTGGTATGAATCTACAGGTAGTGTATTTATCAGCTTGAAAGTGTTGGATCACTTGGTATGTATTTTTCTTATCTGATGTGTTTAGGTGTCATGTTCCTTCAAATTAATTAGAAAATCAATGATAACATGGAACACTTTATAATAAGCTCAAACACACCCTAAAGGAAAATATGAGGACGAAGATACCTTGTACTACTAAAAACAATAAAAATGACTAATTCTAATCTAAACAGCAAAATAAATGAAATGGGAAAAATTGGGTTGCCTATTAATAAGCGCTTATTTATAGTCATGAGTTTGACTTCTTATATTTTGGCTATTTATAGTGGTTTGGAAAAGAAGAGTTTTTAGCCTTGCATTGGTTGCATTGGCAGTTTTTTTTTTTTTTTTTTTTTTAATTCATTTTGGAGCCTCCATATTACAAGATTTTCATTGTTGTCTATTCCAACAATTCCATCTTCATCCTTTCTGTTCTTGTTGCTTCTCCAATGGTCGATCTTATACATTCTTGAATGTCAAGTGGTTGCTTGAGTGAAACATTCATTATGAAACTTTTTCTTCCAACCTTATAATTTATTAATTTTTTCAAAATTCATTAATGCTTATGTATTTGCTAAGAATGGTTTTACCAAAAAAATGGCATATATTGAGCATCTATATCAAGGATAAAGAATTTGCTAAAAAAAGTGGTCTTCAACTTCGATGAACATATCCTCGACCACCCCATAAGGATGCTTGAGTGTCCTATCAATCAACTGCAGAATTATTGATATTATTTTTGGATAATCCAATCTTATTTTCTAAAAATAGAAAGTGGCATCAAATTAATACTTGCTCCATAATCAACTAAGTTATTTATGTGAATTTTCTATAGAGCGAGGTACAATGAAACTTCCTGGACCTTTTAGTTTTGGAGAAAGCGCCTACTTTATGATTGCACAGAACTTTTCGATCAATGCTACTGTTTCATCTACTATGAGTTTTCTCTTCTTGGTCAACATCTCTTTAAAAAATTTAGTATAATTTGGAATCTGCACAATAATGTCAATAAAATGAATGTTGATGTGAAGTTGCCTGAGCACAGCGAATGAGATAAATATTATTTAATATTTTGAAAAGTATTTCAACAAGTATCAACCTACTCAAGTGGTACACCTTACTTTATCACTATGTCGAATTGATGACTCTTCAAATGTATTCAAGCTTTCCTTGAAAACTCTTCAACTCATACAGATTACGTTGCTCTGACATGTTGATTTTGCATCAAATTTTGATACATATTAAACAATGAAGACAAGTAAATTTCCGGAAGTTACACCGAATGGAACCTTTAGTAAATTCCTCTTTAGCTGATAGCACTAGAGTCTTTTGGACTATTCTGTCAAATTGGAGCTGGACTTCTTGAAATTAAAGATATTTATATTGCCCTTGTTTGAAAATTCCAACGATTAAACCCGATGAGCTTTTCTAGTCTTCGTCTAGGCTTTGGTTGCATGAAATAGTTAAACAAATGTCTCCTCGAAGAGGAGTCACAATTTCATATGCTTGTTTTAGAATCATATTTATTTAGTGGTTGAAACTTGAAGGTTTTATGAGATCGAAAGATGAAACGATAATATACTATTGAGCATGCCAAGAAATTTGTGATAAAAATATTTAAAAAAAAATTATAAATTAATTCATTGAAAAATTTCAAAGTGGATTTTGATCATCTTGTAATTGTGAGATTGCAAAATCCTATGATTAAGGATCTAGTTATTGAAGATAATGGGCCACATGACTTGAATCCTATACTTCAAGACTTGAATTTGGCTTTGATTTTTTGGGAACTTTACTTGTTTGAGACTTGGACATTGTTGAGCGCGGAATATCATACTTCATTCCAGTCATCCCAAAAGAATCTCAACCAATCCATAGAAAATCAACAACCTATCTTTGATACCACTTGTTGGGGCGCGGAAGCTCCAATAACACACGTTGATTTCAAACCGAATTGTAGAGAACGAAATTGTTTACTTCAATATTGTCATTACAATTTCATTATCTACAATTCGATTTGGAATCAATGTGTATTATTATGACTTAAATTTGAATTTGCTTTTGGTTCGAAACTTGAAGAAGACTTTGTTCTTCTTGATATTTTCGTATTTACACTTAAAGATTTTTTTTTCTTTTCTTCCTTCAAACCTTTGAATTTTCCCTTGGACTTCTTTCTAAACTTGTAATTTTTCTTGGGCATTTCAACTTATAGTTTCTCTTGGACCTTATGTCCTATCAGTTTAGAAATTTGATAACGACCTTTATAATTAGTGATGTAAAATAGCAGAGCTGACTTGCAAGCCAAAGCTCGTGGCTTGTGTAAAAAATGATCCGATTTTATTTTTTTTTTGCCCAAGCCAAGCCAATTGCCGGCTCGATTTTTTTTTTTTAATTAATTTTTTTCTATATATATACAAACAGCCATAGCTACGACTGCCTGTTTTAAAGGCACCACGCAACTAAGCTACCTGCAATGGAGTTGCTTATTTCCATTTTGTGGCTCGTCATGGATTGGCTTGTGCGACTCGACAAGCCACACGGGCTAGCTTAGGCTCGGGCCAATGTCCCAAAATGAGGCTCAACCGACTCTAGTTTTTTGGTCCGAGCCATGGCTTGTCAGAGCCAGCGAATCAAATTGACATCCCTATTTATAACCATCCAATTATATTTAAATTAAAAATAATTAATTATAATTACGAGTTTTAATAAAATATGATGGACTTTAGGCTTTAGGTTTGAATAGATTGAAATTGTTTAATTATTTAAAGTCCACTCCGTCCATTTCCATAATGAACTAAAAATAGCACCTAAGACAGGACAGTTATTACCACCTTCATGTATGTCACTCATGAAAAACCTTCTCCTAAATCCTAAAATAAATAAATAAACAAAATTTGAATGTCGATTTTTAATTATTCATAGCCATAGCTAACCTCAATTGAGTAATAAATTTTTCAAATAACCCATTGTAGAGATTCTGGAAAAGGGTCAAGAAAATAAAAAAAAATTGTTATAAAGTAAAGCATTAAAACTTTATTCTATAGGACTTGGTCGAGTGACACATATATTTTATTAACTGAAAAATTATGAAACTTATTAAAAAACCTTTAAAATATTTGGGCATATAGGGTACAGAAACGTAGAAAGCGATATTTCTTTTTTATTCTCTATAAAATGAATATATATAAAAAAAAAAGGGTAAAATTGCAAGTCGACACTGCTAAAGTCATTGCAAATGCAAGCCACAATTCAATACGGGTGGTGCTACACATACATCAAAATATCCATAACGGGTTCACCGTCGTCAAATGGAGGGAGACCCTATTCAAATAAAATATAATTTTTTTGGAGTGAATCCCCCTCTATATGAGAAGGTGAACACTGTTATGGATATCGCATTATGTACAAGTAGCATATTCCTTTTAATGATACTTGTGTCGACGTCGAATCTAAGGCCTAAGACAAACAATAAGTCCACTATGCCCATTTATTTACTCTATGCATTCAAGGAGCGAAAGGGCTCAGAAAAACCAATGCGAGCATTTGGTTAAACCAAACGACATTGTTAATAACGAAACTTACCAAAGAGATTCATTTCTTGACAAACTTTGACTTGTCCACAAATACAAGACGTTGTTCGCCTATCCCGTCTCTTAAAGCTCAACCAACTGAAAACTCGTTCATTTCCTTGTTTGGAAACAAATTCTTTAAGCAATGATCTTAACTGTAACTTCTCTCAACGTGATACAAAAGACAACTTTAGCCAGTTAGCGCACAGTTAACTGAAATCCAGAATGCATTTCGCCACCTGAACATTGAATCTTGAATGATGTTACTCTGTGCTGCTTAATAATTCTTTAATACAGTTCTATCACAATTCAAAACATTAGGGGGAAAAAAAAAAGGAGCAATCAAGGCTTCTCTTGCTTTCACTGAATTCAACTTCTCCCTATTGTTAGTCATTTCTCATATTCTCATTGAGAAGAAAGCTATGGTCCCGTTCACTTCGCTTCTCCAAGGCCATTTTTACAACCGAGTACCTGACCAAAGCATCAAGGAGGGCAACAGCGAATCCTACAAGGTAACATGTAATTTATGATCAGAGAAAAGGACGGAAATGCACGATCACATATTCCACCTTTGTGAGAGGCAAGTAACAATATATTTTCCAGGAATTTCATTAACCAAGAAAGTCATGAAAAGAAACAATTACTTACCAAGAAATCTTTTTACCTGGCGATCAAAGAGTGAGAACAAAAGGTGGGGCATCCCTTCTTGGCCCTGCTACTGAACGATAGACATAGACTTTGTCAGCTTGACTGTCATCACTTTCCTTGTCTTTCATCACCTCAACATTCAACCTCGGCATCTCCCTAGCAAGTTGCTGACATGCAGTTATAGTCACATTACAGGATGACATCCACAATGACCGCATTTTCTCATATTTCTCTAGTCCAGACAGAAGAGCAGCATTCCCAAATGGACAATCTCTTATCTCAAGCTTCCTTAGCTTTGGACAACCTTCAAGAACACACTGCATCCCTAAATCACTGCTCCCAGCAAAAGCCACAGAAAGAGTCTCAAGGTTTTTGGCATGCTTCCCAATATACTCAAAAGTCAGATCAGTTAGAAGGCCTGAAACGGAAAGCCTCTGGAGCTTAGTGCAAGTTTTAACCACTGCACCAAAGGCCTCGTCCATAGGTTCATTTGTGAGGTAATCTGGCCGACCTGGATTCATTATGCAAAGACGAAAGTGCGTAAAATTGGGGCAGTTCTGCACAATGGTGGCAACAGCAGCATTAGTCATCTGCCAGCAAAAGTAGAGGACATAGTGGAGTTTGCTGCATCCACGAGACACAGCCACAAAACCCAACTCAGTCACCCCACGGTGAAGTTGCTGGTCAAAAGGATCGGCAGGGAAGACTCGGAGTTCTTCAAGCAAGGGACAGCTGGATCCAACAGCTTCAAGCCCCTTGTCTTCAACTGTATCAAGAACCTGCGTCAAAAGAATTAATTTATATATCAGCCTATCAGCAGTTGCATATTAAGTAAACGAGTCGCTGTCAACAATGCGGGGGATAAAAGAGTTTGGTAACATATCAGAGAGTGCAAAACGTACTATTCTAGTCCCGATTTTCTTCTCTCTTCTCTTCTTTTTCCTTTGGAGGGTTTTTTTCCTCTCCAAATTATTTTTTTTTTTTTTTTTTGGGTGGGTTGTTGAAGTTATCATGCCAAAGAGTTTGAAGACCATAAACATTCCAATGTACACTAGAGACTTTCCACAAATTCACATGCATTGTAAGTATCCAGCAAAAGAGGACTTCATCATAGCAATTAAAAGAACAACAAAGTAATTCCACCACTTCAAGTAGGCAGACATACAAGAATTGTCCTCAAGGTGTATGCACGCAATATTTACTTTCATTTACAGCAAAAGAACCAAGAGCTAAGTTGATAAAATAAACTTTTCAAAGTCCTCATGGACCAGATACTATTGATGGTTTCTAAAGACTTTGGAGGTCCAAGCTCCAGTGGATGAAACTCTAAACATCTTGAGCATCATTTTCTTACCCAGAGGCGCTTCAAATTGGGGCAGTGAGCAATAAGATTTCCAAATTCAACACTTCGAAGAGCCGCATAGCTCAGGTTCAGGAAGGTTAGACTGGTGCAAGCTGCATAAAGAACAGGGAGGTAGACCGAAGTGACTTCCCATAAACCTGAAAGAGTTCGAAGATTTTTACAATTGCTGAATGCACTCTCAAGGTCGCCAAATTGACCAGGCAAAAGCTCTTGCTGGAAGGAACCAGTTCCAAGCTCCATCAACTGAGGGGCCCGCAGAAGCAGTCGCTGTAATTGGTCCAATGTAATACTCTTATTGACCTTAAGAACCCTTAGCGACTTGCACCGACTGACAAGTCTCTCGAGGGCATCAAAATTGACCTCACTGTCAAGGCTGGCAAAGTTAAGTACTTCCAGTGAACCAAAATTCTCAGGGAAGCAACTCAGCCAACCACCATTAAAGTCATCTATATCAGTGTCCTGTATGTCAAGCTCAGTCAAGTTCCTGAAAGCCAAATGAAAACACTAAGTGAATTCACACTAAGAAAGATTACAAATAACATTATTATTATTATTATTATTATTATTATTTTTCGGAAAAATTCAAACTGAAGTTTTTTTCCTTGAATTATTTCTACCATTCTGTGGTATTTATCCTTAGTTAACATATTTTTTGAAAAAAGGAGTAACAGATACTTGATGTAAAGGAAGAATGTTGGAAAATCTAAATACTCAACTTTCGTTCAAGTCCAGAAATAAAGCCAAAAAATTCTAAACATATTGCAAGTAGCAACTCTAAGAAAGGAATATTCGAGAAAGACTAATGATTGTCAGGTGACTTTGCTAACTAACAGCCTGCCAAATAATTGAAACTCAATGATATAGGTGGGTGCTATATGATATCACCAAGAATTTGACTGAATCGCTCAAAATTCAATTTCTTTGATGGACATTCTCTATAGTATAACAGCAAAGTTCTTTCTGGATTCAATTTTTTGAAAAGAGGGGCTAGATTAGGGATGGAAGAGTGCATTATATTATACACCAATAAAGTTTTGTGTTTACCTAAAAAGGAAAAAAGGAAAATGGGAAACACGTCAGGTTCTTGACTAGGAAAAACAAGTTTCGGTTTTTTGCTACTCATATCGGAATCCAAC